TTTCCCTTCCTCTCGTCTCTGTCTCTTTCCCGCCCGTCTTTCGTCTCTCTGCCCGCTTGCGTGTCCCAGTTAGGGTATTCCCCCCTCCCCCCGTCTCCTGATTTTCCAATGGAACTGCCGGTGTGTGGGCAGGGGTTTGCTGCAAGCTGTGCCTGCCCTCTGCCCACTGGTCGCCCGACGGGAATGGAGATTCCTCAGGGTGCAGTGCTAGAGGGGGTAGAGGTAAGAAGGTCCGTGCACCCCCTTCCACTTCCCCCCGCTAGTGTAGCCGACCCCGCTGTGCAGTTCGTTGGAAACAGCGCACTAAACCACTAACAGCGGAAGATCCTCCACCCTATCCGACCGACGGGACCAAGCCTGTAAGGTACACCCGAACCTTGTGCACCTAGCCGGGGGGTAGAGGTAGAGGTAGGGTCAATTCGGGGTTGACGGGACAGGACCTGCACCCGGGGGGCGTGAACCGCTTCTTCTTCGTTGGTCGAATTGTTCCCTTGCACTTGCAGTGTGTCCGGGTGTTCCAAACAGCTGGAGCACCTAGCCAGTGAGCCAGCCAACTGTAACTGTGGACGGTGACCAAGGGTTTTTGTTCTTTTTGACCGACCCGATGCGATGTTGATGCGATGCTACCTTCCTTTCTCTCTTCTTTTCTTCAATCCAACCCACCCTGTCTCCAGGCTGTACGGTGGCTGCCGGATGTTGCGATCCTGCGGCCGCTATCGTTGCAACCCCGGCCGGACTTCCCGTCCGTCTTGTTTCTGCAATGCAAAAGCACCTTCTGCACTGAGAAGGGATTCCGAAGCACGCTAGAGGTAGGTACGTAGAGTATTTGGTCTGCGGTATGTAATGTTTGGAAATAGGATAGGGTGATTGACCCCTTTTTGATGAGGCTTTGTTTCGGCCGGTCGTCTTCAATCCCGCTTCAACAATAATGACAAGCGACGACGGGACCTCCTTGAACTGAAGGATTCTCAATTGTCCCATCCGATTGGATCCCCTACACTGTCGTCACTTGTCGTCCCGTCCTTCCTTTGGATGATACCTAGTATGGTAGTTGACGGGACGGAACTTTCCAAAATTTCACTTCTCCCTCAAATCAGCTATCGACATTCGACCTTGGCTTCCCTTCTGGCAAGTGGAAAGATGTTGTCATTCGCTTCAGTTCCAGTGGAATCGATGCGTGGAGTTGGACACGGGAGATCCAAACGACAAGACAAAAATAGAGTTGGCACTTGGCTTGCAACGCTTGGAAACAAGGCAAGGAAGGAGTAACAGTGACGAAAACGCCGGGGGAAGTAGTGTGCACTATCAAACACAGCCCTTTTTGCTGTCGATCATCGATTCAAACAAGGAGTGAGCGGGCCCCCCAAAGGTGCACTTGTTAGTGTAGTGTAGTGTAGTGTAGGTGCTTTCCATCTCAAACAATTCCAGAAACCACTTCTTGCAAGCAGCAGCAGCCCCGCCGTCGTTGTCTCTCGGTGATATCGGGGGACTGAGACCGGGAGGGGATTTTGGAATGTATCTTGTTTTTCCAGTACCGGTCCGTACTCCCGAACGTAAAACGCCACCGTCCTTGTTTCGCGACGGACAAGTTGGTGTTGAAGCCGAAATTGGCTCGCTGGATCTCAATATTTTTTTTTTTTTTTCCAAAGAAGCAAAAAAAAGAGCCCTAATGTGAGGCGATGCCAACGGTCGCGGCGCGGCTTGTTTTCGTTGCTTTGCTTTCAGGGCGGCGGGTTTTGCACAACGCTTGTCTTGTCTTGTTCGTTTCTCGCTTGCTGAGGCCGGGGCCCCCTGTCCAGTGTCCGCAATCCCCCTCCACCCCCTGGCTCAGGGGTAAAACACACAGAGCACTGACGAGATCTCTCACTCAATTCACCCTGCCCAGGGAAAATCACACACACACACACACACGGGCGGGACAGTGAAAAGGTAAGTTTGTAATGACTTTCTGTGTGTCCGTACCTGCGCCTCGCTTCTGGACCGGACTGGATTGGACTGCGGTCGGCCTTCTCGGTCCGTTACACCATCTGGTAATGTTCTGGTCTGGTCTCGTACTAGCTAGCGTTACAGCGTAGTAAAAGGCATCTCCGGAGTCTAGTGTAGGTACGGCCTCGTGAACTTTTGGGTCTGGGCGTTCGTTTTCGTGTAGTGTAAGGCCAGGGCCAGATCCAGAGCAACGGGGCCACAGGGGGGAAGATTGTATGTCTCGGGACAAGATTATGTCTTGGTTGAGAGACGAGGAGATGCACACACCGTGTGTGATGTTCGAGTCAGAAAATGGTAGCGGTGCGGTCTTGTCCGGTAGACCTTTGTAGACTACAGCTCCGCTTCATCAGAGGAGGGGTCACGCGAGCAGCGCAATCAGCATGTGAGCGGGTTCTGAAGGCTGCCTCGGTTGCGCCGAGTATGACGACGGTGACGGAATAGACGACTCGCTTGACCAAGTCTTTTTCATCGCTCGAGTTGCTTACGAATCGTGGAATGGAACATCGTTGAAGGTGGAAGATCGGTCTCGTCCTTAGTTTTGGCTATCGCAATGTTGATCTGGCTTCAGGGTCGATTGTGTCACGTCAAACGGGATTCGATGCGGCTAACGCGACTGACCGCGGTTGTTGACCACCTTTGATAGGTTTTGAAATCTCCGATCCACGATTGCTTCTCTGGCAGTTGGGTTTCAGCTTCGGAGAAAAGAATGAAGCGATAAGAAGTATGATCTGAATGAAGAAGCAACGAAGAAGCCTAGGCCCGAGGCTGTGGTCGACCCTGGAGAGGAGCTCCGACCTGAATCTGGAAGAGACCCTCCGATCAAGACGGAGCGAGAGGGTACTGCTTCAAGGGCAAAGAAGAGAAGCTCTGATAATAAGGGACAAAGGGCAGGCGAGGATTAAAAGGACGACGACGACGAACGAGGCACGGGGCGAGACATCCAATGACTGCTTCAACGATATAGGTTATGAATAGGTGTATACGTCAACAACGGGGTCGCAGACGACGACCTCAACCTTGCCCTACGACTCTCACATCTCTGTCGAGATTGACAAATGATTAACAAATTGGCAATCAACTTGCAGGCGGCCACTTTGTCGCCCCCAGAGCCGGGTGACGGATCCTGTGGTTCGGCCATTGATGTGCATTCTCCCCAATTCAAGACCATGGGTCATGCAATGTTCGCTCATCGAGGTGTTATCAAGAAATCCCATGACTCTGGTTCTGGCTAGATTCGGTCGTTCGCCGGCATGTCTTTTTGCTTAAATGGAAAAGCCGCGCTCTGGGAGGTTTTCCCCGCACTTTTGGTCGTCACGGATTGGCTGTCTCGACGAGGGGTGGGTGGGCGAGTCGTGGAATGCTTCCCAACTTTTCAACTTTCCAAACTCCAATTCGCCTGATCATTGAACTTCTTTCTTGGTTAAGGTCAGAGCATGGTGTTAGTTCGGACAGAGAGGAAAAGGCTGGTCCTCTCTCCTCCAAATCCCCTTGTCTCATGACTATCATGATGTTGTAGGTATCTTGCGATGCTCGTTAGAAGATAGTAAACCCCGAAGATCAAATGTCTCAAACACTGGTACGTCCAAGGTTCGAAACAGAGGCGTCTAGAACATTGGGCTTGTGTCCGCCAATGCGCTCGTTTACACTCCATGTTTCTCGAGGTGAGGGGTGGGTTCAGCCATTGTCGAATCAGCGAGACAGGAGTGAGACTGCTTGTTCCAGCAAGTCATGGGAAAGCAGCATTGAGGCTCAAATCAGTCTGTCCAATTATTTGACTGCAAACCCATGACTTTTTGACGTCGATTTGGTGTTGGGACTCGACGTTGACGGCGATCATGCCGTTGGGCCAGAAACTGAATTGAGGAGGTACAGAATCCCGTGAAAAGGCACAAACGGATATGCCTCAATTGGAAATCTCGCAGCGTGGCAAGTGACGGCCAGCTCAAACTTCCATGACCCGCATCGACATGTGTGACATAGTGCGGAACATCTGGTCCCGTCAGGCCTGGCAAAATTGAACTGGAAGCTGTGAAGAGAGCACATCGCACCTTCCTGAATGGCTTCATCAACAAAGACCAAGAGGGAAATTGCCTGCCCGAAGTCTGCACAGACCAGGTGCTCCCATACCCCCTACAATAAACTCGGAGAAGAAGGCACTATTTGACAGGGGCCTGCAGGCTTTTGTGTAGCTGCGCGAGCCAACCCCCGAGCAGCTCCACTTGAACAATCACTGCCACCAGTCGACCAAACCTGGAGCACCGCAAAGATGTCATCAAATTCCACCTTCTTTGTCCTCTCACTTGCCATGTTCCTATTTTGTAATCTATGATCGTACAAACGCGATATATCATTTTCTCAACCAACATCAAAACATCCATCCCCATCCTCGTCACCAACATCACATCTTCTGAATCCAAGCCAAGTGGTAGAGGGTGACACTTTGAACTGCCAATCTTACTTCTACCTTCCTATGTTGCACTCCATCAAAAACATGAGTAATTTGGTATGCTCCGCGACATACAAACCGTCCATTCTTGTCCTATAAGACATTTGGTGGCCCGACGTGCTGATCGTCATGAGGTGGCCGAACCACCTGCTCAGTTCGAATCTATTCCTGACCTCCCACCCTGTTATCACCGAGCTCACTGCCTTCCCTTTACAATGTTTGCTTGACCTCTATTAGCAACTTCCCGCCACGTTCTGGTTGGTCCTGAACAAGTGCGTTTCTTCAAAGACTCGAACCAACCTGGCAAGCTCATCGGCGTCTTCCAACTCGTACGGGCTGTGTTCACTATGTTCTACACGCCAACATGTAGGCGATTTCCCGGGAGATTCGATGATGCATCCGCAGTCAAGTCTGGCCCATCGAATAGATCAATCTCCAGCTGGAGCCATGATAGACTATCATGGGAGTCATGGGTCGCTTGGCCATCGGCTGAGAGGGTGAGTGGTTGCTTGTGCATGCGGCTCCCAACATTCGCCGTTCCTGGCGTACCAGGTCGAAGCAGTGAAACATCTCTCCGCCAGTCAGCTCAACCCGCTTCTTCTATATTCGCGTGCACTGTGATTGTGTACCGTCGCCTTTGCATCTCAATCCTCCATTGCCTTTCGCCGATGAATCACTGCGACTTTTGTCGTAGTACCGCCCAAAACACCATCGTCGGTTTGGAAGCCAGGCCAAATCACATGAGGCCGTTAAGCGGAAGTCTGCAAGTGTCCTTCCCGGATGGAACAAAGTGGTGAAGTGGCTCTTATAGGCCACTAATTATTGCAGCCAAGCATAGAAGGTAGGCAAGGTGTCGACAACAATAGGTCTACAGAAGAAGCTTCACTAACTCCATCTTCAGGTTCTTGTATAAATGGGACGAGTAACCCGTCCTGGAAAAACATTTCCTTCTCTTATGCCAAAGTTCGCCGGTACAGACCACTCAATCCCTCTTGCTGCAATATTCCCTCGAGAAATATCGTGATAATGCTGTCCTGGTTCATCAACTCCGGCCTCGTCCTGGCTGCTTTACTGGTATGAGTCTAACCCAATCACACAATTCATGACACTGAAATGATGAAACAGGTCCTTCCTGCTGTCGCCGCACCGACCGTTGCCAACAAAGATGCCTCAGCCATTTCTAGGTATGGCATCGAAGAGCTTACGTGGGAGCTTCAGACTGCTCCCGGAGGTCCTGCCGTGAACGTTACAGGCACCATTGAGCAAGCCTACAAGCACATGAAAACCATTAATCCAGGCTTCATCTCCGATTTTGGCTTTGACCAACCAGTCAACGTCTCTTCGCTCTCCACGCCCCTCGAGTCACGCGGATACACGATCGATCACATCACTTGCGACGTCTTTGAATGGGCCTTCCTGGAGGAAATCCAAACGGGCATGTTCTACCTGAACAAGGTCCCCGGCAAACCGACCAACGGCCCTGGCCCTGGTAACTGTGGTCGGGTCAGTTGCTCATACGGTGCTGCTATCTACTGGTGCAATGATGTACGTCAACACTGCCGTCTCTATTGAGGTTTGAGAATGAAATTAGGTACATCTTGCTGACATGGTCTTTGGCATATAGAACACTGTCAGCAAAACGATTGACACGTTCGGCTACATTACTGGCGCTGCCCAGACCGTTGTCAACAACTGCCCTCAAAGTATAGGTTCGTGGAACATGGGACCGTATGCGGAATTGACCAAGGGTCAGATCTTCATGACGGATAATTGGAATGTCATTGTTAGGTATGACGAGTGCTAGGCAAACTGGGCAGGGCGTGTTGGGTGGGTTCCTGGCTGTACGTGGTGCAAAGAAAGAGGGGAGTCACCCATGGCTTGAAGCCCATGGGGACCAGATACGAGCTTACTCAGGAATGTTGGCGATGGTTATGATCAAAAACTATCACGAGAGGAAGTAATCACATTCAAATATCAAGAGATGAGCTGGACGGTCCGCTATTAGTAGCTCAGCGTCACGATCAAGCGCCTAGGGTACTCATCAACTTGTTGCATCCGTCTTTGTGAAACATTGATGCGATGCCATGTATAGCGGAACTTTGCTTTCATACTACAAATATAAACGTTTAAGACATAGGGCGGGAGCGCTGTTGACAACGCCAAGTACAGACGTCCGATCGTTTACACTGATACAAAGGTTGTGATATTCCAGGCCACCGGAGCCCATGAGGCGAGTTGGTGATGCAGAATCATCGATTTCCTCAAGTACGGAGCCTTGTACATTTTCGAGAATTCGATGGGAGGACCTGAGGTGATGTTTTATTCTTGCAAGCATCGAACACCAAGGGCAGTGTTTCATCCCAACTCTCCCTCCATCGACATATCTCGTCCCAACCCTCCGATCCCTCGTCCCGACTTTTTGCCTGGCAGCGGCCGGCCCGGTGTGGTATCTCTCCAAACGTGCTTAGACCAACGTTCCTGATTTTTAAACCTTAATTTGACTACCGTTCATCAATTTTAGTAGGACTGCTTTTTCTTTCTCTTCTCCCGACCACCTCTCCACGAGACCAAAATGTCTGGAACAATGTTAACAGCCGTTCAACACCAATTCACGACCACCCCCAGACAGCCGTCTCAAATAACATAAGGCGGCACACGATGGCTAGGAAGCAGAGGAAAAGTTAGTAGATCCCTGAGTAACAAAGGTAGACGGTTTGCAAAATTTATAGGCGTATAATAGGTAGTAACAATAAGGAAAAGTTCAAGCTGGAGGCATCCGAGCAGAAAGGAACATTCACCAGTGTCTTTAAGAGATGGACACATCAACCACAGAGAACGCGTAGTCAATGCTACCTCTAAGCTCACTCAGTCATTATCCCTTTTACACTCTGCCTAGGTAACCATACCCCCCTTTTTCTCTCTGCGTAGTGGTGGGTTAATAGCTGGGAAAGAGACAAACGGAAGTGAAGCCCGCGGCAGAGAGCGCCAGATGTTACCAGTTTCAATATAAACCATGGCAGCGAAAGTATCACGAAGAGAAGCAAGACAATCATGCACGGACAAAAGTGAGTGAGTAACATAAGTAATAACCATTCATTCGTTAACCATAATACACCCATAATTAACGATGATAATCCGTAATCTGCCCAATCCTCACCACCAGCAAAAACGCCACCGTCAAGCACGCCGACCTGACAAGAAACTCGTCCCACGTCCCCGGAGTGCCGTCCACAAACATCATCTTCGCAAAGGACTCATTAGAGGTACCTCCACCATGTGCACTCTTCGGTGGCCCCCCTCCTGTTATGCCATTTTCCTTTTCCTGCTGCACCTGCACCTGGTGGTGTGCTCGAGGCGCCGCCGTACATCCAACCAGCCTCCTCATCCATCCCACCACCCACTTCCCGAACTTCACTTCCTACGTCAAGTGGGAATTTGAATCCTGCTCTCCACCTCCCACACTCCTTGCTTCAATCCCCTAAAGCCCACAAGCGCTCAACGCCACCTGCTGAACCTGCGCGTCCACACGGCCAAACTGCTCCGCGTTGCCGCCCGTCAACTCATTCATCGCCTTCTTGCTTAAGTTGACGCCCGCGCCGGCATGGTCGATCGCCAGAATGTTGATTGTCTTGCCGTTGTACGTGACGGACCAGCAGGTGCCGCAGTTAGGCGAGTTCCAGCCGGCCACGGCCTCGACGCCGCCGATGTAGGGGAAGTTCTTGACTTGGTTCTGGAAGTTCCAGTGGTACTTGGTGATGAGGCCGTTGGAGCCGTCTGAGCACGAGACGACGGTGAGGGAGCGGTTGGGGTCGTCGTAGCCCGTGTCGTAGGAGACTGTTATATGTTTGTTAGGAACATGGACGTGTAAGAGAGCGAGGAGAAAGGGAAGGAAGGAGACATACCGGTAGTAGCAGAGGCGGCGGTGGCCAGGGTGAAGAGGCTGAGGATCTTGGAGAGCTGCATTTTGAGATGGATATGGGATGTGATGGGGTTGGTGATTATAGTATTATCCAAGAAGGAGACTTGGTCGTATTAAGGTATAATAGTAGTAGTTGTTGTTATTGTAGATGGAGGCTGAAGCTGGATGCTGATTTGGAATGCAAAGACTCAATGTCTCAAAAGGAGGGAGTAGGACCCTTATATGCACCCCGAAGATCCCTCCCTTCTAGTGTAGCTCCGTGTAGCTCCTTCTTCTCATTCACGAACACAACATCAGCACCCCGGAAATGGAAAGAACGGACTAAACGGCATCGTGCGGGTGTAACTTGGTGGTGGTTGGGTGCGGAGATCCACCAGTCAGTCACCACCCACGACACGAAGGGGACACTGCGAAAGCTACGTACCATACGGGGACTTGCAACATCTTGTTACCGCAAATAGAATTCCCCAGTCTCCACACTATGCAGCCAGCAGTTCCGATTGCCTTCTTGGACGTCATGGGTAAGGAAAACGGCAGAAAGCAGTGGCTAATTCGAAGGAATGGGGTACTTAGACCTCTGCCGGGGTAGACACAGTTAGCGTGATCCTTCTAGCCTACAGAAAAGTAGATTTTCTGGCCGGTATGAGTGCGATTCTTCTGTAGACACTTCCACTTCTCATTCATCTTTGTCACCGATCCTACTGACCGCGAATTCGCACAGGATTCAACTATCTTCCCCCCCCCCCCCGGCAGATGTGTAAACAGCCCAGGTGGAAAGTGGCAGGTCGTCAGAGCCGAGTAGGGTAGCATGCCGCCGCAGCCATCAACCATTGGCGATGCCAAGCCCGTGTTTTTGACTCCATGCAGCAACCCATCTTGTCTTGACTGGCCCGGGTTTTGCAACCTACGAACTAGAGATAGCCAAGAACACCCCTAAAAAGATCTCGTCAGCAACTAGTGTAGACTACTCTTATCGAGTACGAAGGCTTGCAACCTTTGACAATGGTTGGATGCCATGAAAGTCAGTATTGCCCATTGCTTTTGTGTATTGGCTTGGTTTGAGAGTTCTGGAGGGGCTGGTTCACTCACCGAGCCTCAACGATGTTGTGTAACCATTAATTAGTAACGGCTTTGCAGGGGAAACACTCGGAAAGACAAGCAAACACCAAGCGGTAGAAGCAAAGTAAGCTTGGCAGCTCTTTTGACATCAGAACCGTACAAGCAAAACCAAAACTTCGAGGGAGCGGAACCAGATGGTCCTCAACATTCGATTCATGCTCCCATCTCTGGAGTTTTCAGCCTTCGTATCGACGTACAAACAAATCCTCACACCCTCCTCACAGCGTGAGCGGTGGCAGGACCATGGCAGCGGGTAAAAGTGGAGGTTTCTTGACAAACGATCGGCATTCAGCATTTCTCGTATTCAATGAGTTCCCACGACTGGTGCAACTCTGCCAATGGAAAACAACAATATCCATGACATAGAGGTATGGAGTCGCTACAGTCAGACAAATCATTGTTGCTATCGCATATTGACTGCCGCCTGATAAAGCAAAAAAAGTAGGTAATCATGAAATGGGCAAATGGGAAAAGTGCGGGGGATCACCAGAGCTGGATCGGAGGTAACATGACATCGGCCTGTTCGCATAATGTGTGCACTTGGGACACCGACGAGCACCAGCACTTGGATTCTGGACAGAACGTCTTGTTACGTACCTCTGTCAACGGACACCTATTCTCCGAGGAGGATTTGGCGGATAACAACGAACAAAGGCTGGGGAGGCGTCAACTCGTATGCTTGAGGCGTAACAAGCTTGTGGTGCTTGCTTCTCTTCCACCGGGCTTCCACCAGTCACCTGTCATGCCATCAACCGCTCTGCATTTTTCCGTGCACGACATCGTCTTGTTGCATTTCTTCAACGCCTATGCGGGAAGGTCTCACAGGGCTTTCTTTGGAACATGCTCGAATGAACTCGGCTGTTCCAATTCCACCTCTTTCCCCGGCACGGCATGTTGCTCGTTATCGATGTCTCGGCCAAGTTTGGCCACCACTTGGCTTGCCAACACGTCCTTTTAGGCTCGGCTAGCTCGGGCAAGCTAGCAGAAGCAGGGTCCCAAGAATAATGGCCAATCCGATCATCCTGTGGACTTCCCTGACACGTGCCGTCTCCGCCCCCGCTCCGGGCCGGCCGATTGAAGTCGGATCCCGCCACTTGCCCATTCAGTCAGGGCGTGTTCGGCAACTCAGTAAATGATTTCAGTAAACGTTACTGCCGGATTTACTGGGTCGTGTTCGCAACGATCAATAACCGATTTACCAGTAAATTACAGTAAAATCTGTTCTAGTAAACTTTTTGCCCTACAACCCCCATCTGACCAATGAAATATATAGAAATCGCTGTATTTACTAGAAGTTATTTCCAAATCTCTAAACCTCTAGAAATAGCTTCCAATATTTGAAAATCCCCACTTTTCACAACCACACATCTCATCAACGTACACCCCTCAACGCCATACCAATCCATCATAATACAGTCTACTGCTCTAGAAGCTCGTCGGCGTCGACGTTTAGTATACCGTTAAATACTAGTCCTAGTTATTATATTCCTAACGAACTTTCTTATTCTATAGAAGCTACCAATCCCTATAAATTTATATAAATAGCGTAGTCTCTTTACAATTAAGGAGCTTCTATATAGCTATATAGGTCAGTTCAAAGACTTAATTTGTATAGGACCCCAGACGTTCTATATATTATATAAATAGCTTCGTTACAATACTAAATTATATTCATTAAAGTATATAACTACCTAAGAAAAGCTATCAATATTCTTATTTATAACCGGGTAAGGTATTATCTTTCAGCTTACCTCCTTCCTACTTAATTACAATCTAAATACTATTAACAAGTTAATTAATAGAAGTTATAACCCTAATTACAAACTTCTTACTTACTAATATAATAGGGTATTTTATAAAGTCCTTAATATATATATAATCCTAGGGAATTATAAAA